TCTAACGTTAAAGCTAGATTAGTTATGATATCCCCGATTTAAACAAATATGTTAACGTTACTTCCATCCAAGAACATTTTTCTACTTAAACTTCAGCCTTCATAAGCCTCGAGTTACATCTATACGTGATACCTTGATCCCGTCTACCCTTAGGTCATGTAATTCCAGCATTCTCTACTTCTTTCTTCGTTCTACTTTTCGTCCTACTTTATTTTTTAAATTTCTCAGAGTGGGTGTCAAGGTTGGGCCGCTTAACTTTCGGTCCTCTGTTAGACTAATGTTGTGATAATATTCCAGTTACCGAGAGACTGGTTAGTCTCCAGAAAATCAAATAAAATGAAGACGTGCCTGTTCAAACTCTTAGAGTTCTGAACGTGTGTTTTTAAACCACCATCATCCACGCCCACTTCACGCTTTCTCTCCTCCTCTTCCTCTCTCTCGATTTCTCCCTCATTCTTTTATTCTCTCCCAATCTCTCCTTCCCCCCCTCCCTCTAGCCTCATTCTTTCTTGATTTCTCCTTCATTTTCTCATTATCTCCCAATATCTCATCCTCTCCCTCTCTATATCTCATTTTATCCTCACTCAATTTCTCATTCTTTCTCTAATTCTCTCCCAATATCTCCTCCCCCTCTCTCTCACTGTCTCCTCACTATCTGGATTTCTCACTTTCTCTAATTTTCTCCCAATATCTCATCTTTCCTCTTTTTTCTCCCTATAACTCCCTTGATTACATCTTCCATACTCTCTCACACATTCTCTCTCGTTCCATCTCTCTCTCTTACAGTCTCTATTTCTGTCTTTATCCCCCTCTCACTCATCATCTTTCTCTCACTCATGTTCCCTCCTCTCCCACCCACTTCTCACTACCTGATCCAACCTCACAACTTTCATACATACTTTTCATAGCGTTTCTCGTTATTTTTTCAAATATCTCGTAATTTAGCCGAACCGCGTCAATAATTAACCAGACAGGATTTTGAGGTTGTATAAAACGACCCGGATGTGACCCGCGGTGCATTTAATATCCTTCACGCTTCAAGAGTGTCGGTAAAGATTTTTTCATCTCTCGAAGATTTTAAAAACCCATTACTGGCAGCGTGCCGATTCTCAGTCGAGCAAAACGGGACGATCTATCGTGTTTTTATCTACTTTTTGCTCCTTTTTGCTCAAACTTTCAAGCGTACAACAACATAAATATATTAAATTAATTTTTCAGTAGATGTTTTTTATAGAGATAAATTCTTCTGGAATTATTTTTGACGCGAAACGAATTTTTTAATATTAAATTAATGTTAAAAGAATACGAAACAAATATAAATTTTGAACGTAAAAATATAAAACAAATGTAAGTTTTGAAAATGAATATGAAACAAATAAAAATCGTATTCATTAAGTGGAGATTTCAGGTCCTAAAAAATAGGTTAAATATTCGGTTGTTTCATCAAGCAAAATAAATTGGCGCGCTATGTACAGATGAAAACACAATTTGAAGATTTTTTAATTTTATTTTAAACATTAAAAGATATGCAACTTAGTGTTGTATGAAAGTTGGTGTTGTATAAAAGTTAGTGTTGTATGCAAGTTACTGTTGACGTGTGTTACATGGCGGTGAAGTAGAGTTCATCTGTTTCTGTGACCACGGCATATAAAGGGACAGTGTGTTCAGCACAATGCCCAGCCGCCTTTACTTTCCCTAACTTGAGTTAGGTACCCATCCGAGCTGACTGAGCTTAAAATTTATACGTAATCGAGCGAGGGATCCGAACTTGAGCAGTTGTGTGCTCTAGAATCCGACCCTGTCATCCGATAGTTTGTATTATATGCAGGTCATTATTTTTTGTAAACTAGTGGTCGGATTAAATGGAGTTGTTGCCCCTTTTACTAAATCGATCTATTTGTTCTGTTAGTCTTCTACAAATGGTGTACAAACTTTTTGTTTATCTTAATATATATATATATATATATATATATATATATATATATATATATATATATATATATATATATATATATATATATATATATATATATATACAATATGTTTCTGTATTTGAAAACATAACCTGTTAAAAATCGTAAGTAACGTAATGAAAAATGATGCTATCCAACTCATAAGAGATGCGCCACTTTTACATAATAACCCCCTTTCACTTCCCCCCCCCCCCCCCCCCCCATTTGTTATAATTATCAAATTTTAAAAAATAATAGACCAACGGGTAGATATTGTTTTCAATAAAAAGTCGCAAACACTTCTGTTTGTAACTTTAGCGTCGACATCTCCTTGTAAAACAACCGTCTCCTATACATTCAAAAACAACATAGCATTTCACCCGTGAAGTTAGCTGAACTCTCCACCTAATGTCAAAAACATGCGATTCATCAAGAACACTCTGAAGTGTGACAAACAACAAAATTATCCGACACTTAAGTCAACGACTTTCGACATCCAATAGATCACGAGGCAGACTCCGGTGGTAAACTTCGATTTCTTCATCTTCGATCTGTCACAAATTACTGGCAGAAATTATGGGAAATCTCTGTATTTTGTAGACATTTTGTCTTTTGATGCAATAACCTTTCGTTTGCCCGTGATTCTGGATTTTGATTGTGTTAAGTTGTTCAATATATTGATCTCTATCTTGCTATCAGCAACCTAAAACGTTCTGGTTCGAGTTTTTGTCAATGTCATTACGGCATAGTGACTCTCTTAAGAAGGAAGGCTCTGGAAAAAAAAAATCTCGCGTAATAAGCCTTATTCATATATTTTATAAACGACCCTCCAAGGCCCCCCCCCCCCCCCCCACACACACACACATTCCTTTTTAAAAATGTGTCTATCAGTCTATATTTTGTCTCGAATTAAGTGAAATGAAAATTATGAACTTTGTACTACCATAGATAATTGGAAGCAAACACCTTGTTAATGTAGGAAATGTTTTTTTCCGTTTCTTTAATTACACTATTCTACACAACCAACTGTTTGTAGTTGAGATAGGGGTTGGCGTGGTCGAGTTAGTAAAGCTCATGGTTGCTAAAAAGATGAGGCTCGATAGCTGGGGACAGCAAATAAGAGACAACTCCCAAAATTCAAACAGTTTGCAGTGGAACGAAGGAGGAGAAGAGCTAGGCTCCGTTCTGTTGTAGACTTTCTATCTTAACCGTACCATACCAGATTAGGACCAGACGTTGGTTAAACCTTAATAACATCAGAATCAACTAACAAGATACGAAAAGATTGTTTGCCGAGTTCAAATCCCGTTGACACTGAGGTCTATGGCCTCGGTGGCCGAGTTGACGCAGCTATGTACACTTGGCCGTGTTAGAGAACATGTATGGCCGGTGGCCATTGTAGGCGAATGGACATTGTACTGACCACACAGTGACCATTTATGCTGCGGTTCTACGCTCCGTTATTTCGCGTGCTTTGTTGACCGTCTGCTTTAGATAACGGTATTATTGCCGAATACACAAAGTACTGGTAGGGGCGTGGCCAAGACCACGAGGTGTTATAAAGGGTGTGGCTAAGTTTATCAAGTCTTAACATAGTCGTGGGTGGTGTACTCTCTCCGCCAAAAGAACGTTCACTGATAAAGCAGAACAATGAAAATAAATATCGACCAATGTATAATAGTATATACTAGAGCCTTTCAATGACCTTAGATAAAACAAATTTCGACAATTTTATGATACAAGCTTTGAATTTGTAGAATTTATGACGGAAGATAGGATAGACCTTATCTAACAATTTATCACAACTCTTATTTTAGAGCCTGCGTTCTCCAAGTTTAACTTTTTAACACAACTTTAACCAGTAAATATTTGTACACAAATACAAACAACTGTGTTGCCGTTCATTTGAGGGTTAAACCGCAACAGGAGGCATGCAATAACTGAACACTTTTAAAGTTCTACCAGTTTTAGAAATTGAGCTGCTAAATTTTAAAAACAAACGGCGTCTAAATGTTCGAAAAATAACTGTTAATGCAGTTATTTAAATTGGAATAAATTAAATTTTAATTTTTAAAAAAATTAACCGTTGGGACTAATCCAATTAAAATATTGATTGTAAATTAATGATTGGCGAGGTTTGTTTTCCTGTTTTTGTGCTGGAGTTTTTTAACGGTCTAAAATGCGAGAGCACGGTCATCCATGGTTAATAATTAAGAAGGTAAAACTTTATAAACGAAGATTTAAGACAGTGTTCTAAAAACAACGTTCAATTAGGGCGGTGGTGGTGGGGGGGAGGTGTGATAGTTTTTTTTTGTTTGGTTGTTTTTTTGTTGTTGTTGTTGTTGTTTTTTTGTTTTTTTTTGCAGTTGATTTAAATAATTTGTAAGGCCCTTTTTAAAAAAAAACCTTATTTAAAATATGATTCTCATATCCCGTTTTGCAAATTTTTAAATTTCTATTTTTAAAAATTGATTGGTCATCACATCTAGTTGCGTAAAATTCATAAAATTCCTATTTTAAAAAAACATGATTGCAATTTGAAAAGTTTGGGTGTGTTAGAGATGACTTCATTCACAGATTGTTACATTTTGTAACACTCTGTGACCATGGGGTTTTTAAAATGATTAAATAAAGCGTGAAGCCATTCACGGACCACCCCTTGATGTTTACCGGGGCACAAAGAAACAACCGTTCTCCTACAAACCTAGCACAGGACGGCGTGGCCTAAGCGGTAGAGCGCTAGGCTACTCGATTTCGAATCCGGGTCCAAAGTCAGTAGAACTCCCTGAGTCAACCCAACTCTGATGGGTTCCTAACTCATGTTAGGGAAAGTAAAGGCGGCTTGCAAAGTGTTGACCACACATTCCCTTCATATGCCGAGATCAAGAAACGTATAAACTCTACTTCTTCTGCCCATTGGATCGCTATGTCCAAAGATGTTTTTTTTTTTACTTTTTTTTTTAAGTTACAGACCTACCGCTCCCACAAAAAAAAAATATAAAAAATCCCCATTGTCTTGTAACTCCTGATTTATTTTCTCCTCCACAGAGGTCCTCATACTGTTTAAACATGAACACCGTCACCACGGCAAGGTCATCTGGCTCAAGGATTCACCTCCTGGTCATCATCTTCTGGTAGGTCATTTCCTTTTTTACCACTTCCGGTCATTTCCTTCACTTTCCCACTTTTCGTTTATCGGGTTTTTTTTTTCCTTTCTTCATTTTTTTTGCACTAGTTGTTTACCTTGTGAAAAAACATTGGAAACCGGAAGCCTTACAACGTCACAAAACAAAATGGTGGACAGGTCAAGATGTAGAAGGGGAGGTAAAGCTAACTGGTTTCCGGGCATAAGGGGGAGGCGATCACCTAGTTAATGCAATTAGAATTTGAGAAGCCTTGCAATTGTTTTTTAGTGGAGAGCTATGTAAACGATACAAGCGTGGACATAGTTTTGTCAGTGTGGGTGATTTAAAAAAAAAAACTGGTTTGTTGAGCTCGCGGTATTACGAAACAAATTAAGTTAAAGTACGGAAATTTCCGATTCAGTGCGCGTTTTTATAAAGCTGCATGTATGTCGTAGATATCGTGTTTTATTTTTTTAACTCGCCGTATCGTCAAACCACGATAATCGAGTACCGACGTAATCGAATATCTAATCCTGCCGAAAACAATGTTTCTAGTCTAGTCTTAACCCTAACCCAAATAATAACTCTAATACAGTCCAAAGACTAAACATAATCTTAAGTTTAACTAACTGTGGTGCAGTTAATAGTAAAAAGGCCGAGTTCTTAATTTTTTCACATCGGCAATTTACAAAAATGGACAGGTTGGTTGGGAGAGATAGAGTATGATTGTAACCCCATTTCTATATAAATTCTATTCCGTACGGTGGGTGGGGGATGTCGCCCCCACTTCTCATGAAAGAAACAGTGCTCAATAGCTGGGGACAGCGGCCCATCTTGGAGAGACAACTCCAAAGTCAAACAACTTGTGCCTTGTAGTTTATTCTTAGTTGGTCAAAGGCTATGGAAACAAATCCAAAAAGAAAAGCAGGCTTAAGTCACAGTCAACTAACTCTACGGCGCATAAGATGTTCACTCGTAATACTTCATTGTGTTGGGCAAAATCCAGTTACAATTAAGAAAGAAAAGAAAAACACAAATTTAATTGCTAGCATAGTTTCTGTTGGCCTGGCTCTGTTAATTGTGGCTGACTTGTGAGTAGACCACACAAAAGCTCCATTCAATTTATTTTTTTAACGTAAGGTTGTGTAAAGGTGCTTTTTAATCATTTTTAATAAATTTGTATGTTGTATATTTAGTCTATTACAGCCATATAAAGTGTGTATTTGATATTTGGTGTGTAATGCAGTATACATCAGTGTAATCAATACACCATCTTCACAATAAAATAAATTCAAATCTGCAAACAAAACACTTTTTGAAACGGTGTTAAAAATAGCATCTGGAAATTCGCGACGCTAATTATAGCTCACTGCTCCTTTCAGAAGCTCAACTGATCTATATGAACATAGGCGTTATAGCAATGCTAAGCTACTGGTGATCTGTCGATTTTTGTGTGTGCTCCATTGATCTTAACGTTAGGAAGATATAATTTGTTGACAAAATTGTTACCTTACGATCTGTTGTGCTGGATACAGCTGGATACAGCGGAGGTATAATGGAGAAGTGGGGATTGCGGGGAGGGGTGAGTTTGGTTTAGGGGGGGGGGAGAGCCGTGATGTTATTATGTACGTCAATTATTTTGATAACAAAGATGCGAGATTTGATGTACCAAGATCGTGGAATTTGTGTCTTGTAATTTTTTGATACATGTGTGGGTGGTGCACGATTTCATAATATGTTGGGGGGGGAGGGGGGAGGGGGGGTGGGGGGTGGGGGGGGGGGTTAGTTAAGTAAGATAATATGTACAACGATCTTAACATCAGTGTCTTGTAATTTTTTTGATAGGTGGGGGTTGATAATTTGATGATATCGGTAGGGGGCGGGGTAGTTTAGGAAAGTGCGAGGGGATGGTTTCATCATCAGAAGGTACTTTTGGATGGGTGGGGTGGGGGGGGGTAGTGTAGGGAGAGTTGTATTTATGCTGTTGATGTAGTGGGTGTTTGGGATTGGTGGAGCAGCGAATATTATGATCTGCGAAGTGTAGATTAGAGAGTTTGTGATGTTGTGGGATGGTTTGTGATTTTATGATCGTTTGTAATGGGTTGTGATGTGTTTTGATGGTTTGTGATGGTTTGAGCTATATTTAAAACTTCTCTCTCTCTTTCTCTCCCTCTCTCTCTCTCTCTCTCTCTCTCTGTTTGTGTGGCTGATTGGAAAGTGACGCTATTTTCTACACACACCACACACCACACGACATTACGACCTCATCTGACCTTAAAGTGGCTACACAATTTTACAAATATTGCCGCACTACCACATTTACGTCACTTTCTCACACAGCCACACACCACCAAGCTTTCACATTTAGCCACACGACAAACATTGCTACACACCTGTTAAACCACACTCAGTTTCAACACATCTCACCACACATCCAATTAGCTTCTTACACCATACAACATATATCACTACCAAAACTATACCTACTACGCCATACAACATATTCACCACTATAAATACAGGACTACCTACTATGCCATATAACATATATCCCTACTATAAATATAAGCCTGCCTACCTACTCCATACAAATATTCACCACTACAAATATAGGTCTACCTACGACATACAACATACTATGTATTAAAACACGACGACTTGACTTTACCCCAACTCAGACAATCTCCACACCCCTATCTAGACGCACCTCACCACAACTTCACTACTTATCCACAACTGCCACACCATCACCATCTATCAAATAAAACAACAACAATATATTGACCACCAGCTGTATATTTTAGTCGAACCTTCCTAGCAGACGACACAACCAGCAAATCGCCATCTCACCAAATATTCTCCTGTTGTGTACATTGATTTAATTACTTAATTAATGCAATTAATGCATTGATCAAGCATGCGTTTACTGCGGTTTCTCCCAACTAAATGCTAATGACAGCTGGATTAAATAAACCGGTAGTGATCTCCCCTAAACTTTCTCGAATATTCTTATATAAAACAACAGGGGATGGTAACTGGGGATATAGTTATGATCTTCAATCCATTTTAAATACTGAAACTTTTAAAAATAGAATAGAATCTCAGTAAAAAACAATTGCGCACCAAGCGAACGCCTAATAAAGGTGTGTATAATAGTGCGCAATAGTATTAGTACTTTATAAATTTACATTAGTTTTTTGAGAAATCGGAAGTAGCGTAAAGTACTACTTCCGGTCAACGGAAATTACTCAAAATTTAACAGAAGGTAGAGAATTAGATCTTTTACTTACATGTGAAATGTCATTTATCTATCTGAAATAGTACTCAAGTTATAGGCTTTTGAAAAATTCAAAGTAGAAAAAGTACCACTTCCGGTTATCCGAAATCGCTCAAAAGTTGATACGGATCTACGATTTTGATATAATACTTGTATATGAAATTTCATCAACCTAGCTGTAACGGTACTCAAGTTATCGTGTTTACACACGGACACACACACACACACACACACACACACACGGACACACAGACATACGGACAAGATTGCAAAATTATGTTTTTCCGTATCAGTGAGATGTAAAACGTCGAGATTTGCAAAAATCTCTATTTTTTTTTTTTGCACGATTACAAGACTTTCTCTATACTTCGTATATACGAGAAAGTAAAAACACATATCATGCACGAAACGTTTTTCTATTTTATTTGTTTGCATAATTTCGGCAGAAATGCTTGGCAAATTTTTTTAAAAATCTGTGCTATATTTAGACAAACCTCACGTGACTTAGAACGTGGGAGAGTTATTGCTCCTGAAACAGGGGAAAGGAGTAGTGCGGGTTAGAGATTTAGCCGATGACCAATTTACTAAAAGATTTTTTTTTAGCCAGGTTTAAGGTTAGATATTTCGACCCAAACTCTCGCATGAGCACTCAAATTTAGAGTTCTGAAAGGTTACATCATCGAGCGTGAATGTTTTTAAATTTAGATTGTTTATACGGAGAATTTTTTCTTTAACTTTTTAATGTAGGTAAGTTAAGTTCCTCTTCCAAACCTTACGGTCTATTGGGTAAGTGAAGTAAAGTTCACTTGTTTCTGTGACCTCGGCATATGAAGAGATAGTGAGGTCAGAGTTGGGTGGACTCGGGACGGTCTACTGATTTGAACCCGGATTCGAACTCTACTTACGGGTTAGCAGCCCAGCTCTCTACCGCTAGACCACTCCGTCCTAAGTGAAGTAGAGTTCACTTGTTTCAGTGACCTCGGCATATGAAGAGATAGTGTGGTCAGCACTATACCCAGCCGCCTTTACTTTTCCCTAATGTGATTTAGGAACTCTTCAGACCTGGATGGACTCATTAAAGTTATACAGATTAGAGCGCGGGACTCGAACTCGAGACTTTCGTATCAGGAGTTGTATGCTCTACCATCCGACCACGTCGTTCTATATGTTAGTGTTTCATGAAAGTTAGTATTATACGCATATCAATACTATTTTCAAGCTAATGCCCAGTTCAAGATAATGTAAGAAGTTCACCATATACCTAGACTAGATCGAATAACTCAGGTACCCATTAAAGCTGATTAAACTCACCTACATGTAACCGAACTCAATACCTGCGGGCAGGCTCTCACTCGATAGATCACGCCGTTCTGTATTGCACTCACAAATTACCGTTATTATTTTAATTCCAAATAACTTCTCTTCAATTAGCGAAGTAGTTGGAGCAAGAGTAACCGTTCTTACCTAGAACTTCACGACATATCAATTCCACCAATTTCACGGTTACCCCCCTTTACACTTTCCCCTTTTAGATTTTAACCAGCAAATGTACCCCTACCCCTGGTCTACCAATCGTGCTATAAATAATCAACCATGACTTCTACTAACTCAAGCAACCCCCCCCCCCCACCCCAACCCCGGGGGGTCACGCTTGACTGACTTCTCATATCATTAACTTTTCTTACCCTGCATAACATCGTGTCCTCACGAACTGCCTAATCATGAATTTTAA